GGGGGGGGTTCTCCAATACGTACTTTGCAGATTGAAGTGAATAGCAAATGATCAAGAAGATATGCAGGTTTCAAAGAGACGGAACGTTTGACCGTCTTGCCGTTGATTGACGTCTTACCTCTCCTGTTTGGATTGAAACGTTATCTTTGCATCGTTTGGTCGCTTTCAAAACTTACCCTGCGAACCTTTCGGGGGTTCGGGATGGAAAATGTCGAAAAAAGTCCAAACGCTCTTTTCATCAAAAACACGAGCGGAGTCGATGACGACGCCGAGAAGACGTCAAGCCGACGGAGACCGCAGCGGCCGACTGGGCCGAGGCGCCGGACTCATGAGGAGGAGTCGAGAAGGAGCTCCCGCCCACATTTGCCACTTCCTTTTCGGACGGAATGGCAATCGCAACCATTTGCTCTGTCTGAGGAAGGCTGGAAAACAAGAGCGAGAACCGTTCAACGCGTTGCTTGACGGGAACCGGGACGGAACGGGCTCGGTGGACGGGGCCTGATAAGCGCACTTCAGGGAGGAGATAAAGTTCTAAAGACGGCTGCCCGGCGAGGGGCCTTATCGCCGCGCGCCACCAAACAAGGTCACAAACCAGCCAAGAATTTCGCCAGGTCCGGGACGGCGGCTCACGCCGAGGAGCCGCCCGACCTTGGCCCACCTTCACCAAGGTCGGCGATCCCAACGGGAAGCGCCCGCTTCCCGGAAGAAAAAAGTTTTCTTCTGCAAAACCCGAAGCGCTACGACCGGTACTTTTGATGCGCGGGGTCGTTATTGCGGAAGCGGCGGGCATTTGAGGCCCCGCCCACCGGATTTCAAATCAGCCTCACACAAACTAGTCAGACGTGCGGCTTTTGACGCAACGGACTTGCCCCGAGAGCGCATGGAAAGAAGTAAAAAAAAAAGCAAAAAAGTGCAAAAAGAAGCCGGCTTCCAGTGTTCAGCGCGGCGCCAAAAAAGGTGGCAACGACGGCCACGCGAGAAGATCGGTCAAGGCGCCGCGTCGCCTGTCCCGTCAACAAATCAAAAGGCGGCGCGGGGCTCCTCAGGCAGCGGCGCACCTGTCGGTCAGCGTTCCTTCGGCGTGTGCTTCAAAGGAGTCCCCGCCCGAACGGTCATCGGGCGGGCGTCTGCGCACGTGTCGGGTTTTGTTTTCTGATTTCTTGTGTTTTTGTTTTTCGAATTGGAGTGAGTTTCTCCAGTGGACTCCCGTTGACATTTTGCTCACTCCACCCTGCTCCCGTCCCGCCTCCCGGCTTTTTGGGGTCCTCCAACCAGAGCTAAGATCGGTCCTAAAAAAAAAAAATCGAGCCCGACCCGAACCGAGCCCCCAAATCACTTTGCTTGATTTGCAGGCCCGAGCCCCAAGCGAACGCCACATTTCATCTTTGATATTTCCGTTTCTGAAGAGGCTCCGCGAACCGACAATTTTCTGTCACTGACGGATTTTTTTGAAGAGCAGACGGGGAAATTTGAAGGCCGTCCGCCATTTTGACGGGTTGAAAATTGGGCCGTCGACCGCCGCGGCAGTCCGTCCTTAAGAATCTAGCGCGGCACGATGACAGAGAGAAGCAGAGAGACATGTCCGCCGGTCATCTCCAGACGACGGGACCGCTCGTCAGGCTCCGACTTCCTGTGTCCCGAGACCGAGCAAAGGCCTTCCTTCAATGTGCGGCGCTCCCTTTCGACCGGCGCGAGGACCCGCGGTCCGGACGGGTTCCTTTTCGGCCGCCTACCTTCCCTCCTCAACGTTCTCGGGCAGCAGGAGGACACGACGCGGGCAGGAAGCGCAACCCGTTCCGCAGCGCCTGTCCAACGAGAGCGGCCTTGTTCACCTTGGGCGCGGCGAGCCCGGGCTGGCCGAGGGCCGGGGCAGACTTTTGACTTACCAAAGGACGGTGGGGAAAAGCTGGTGTGAGTAGAGGAACGCGGGCGGCGGCGAAGGTCGCCTCGGAGAAGCCCTCGGCCATGGCGGCCACGCCGATCCGAAGCGCCGACGAGTAAGAAAATCAAAAACGGAACGGGCGCGCCGGAGACGTGAGCTCCTTGCGCTCAAACGTCGGCGTCGCCCGCTGCCGGCGCTCACCCGGCCGAACGGCCGCGTTGACGGCGACGAGGGCTCCCCTGCCCATCGGCAATCCCGCCTGACCGTTGCGTCGCCCGATCCGGTGCAGGAGAAAGTAGGACGGGATCTTGGCGGGTGTTTCCACGCCGCCGTCGCTGAAAAGATGCCGACGCCCAAAGCCCGAGATCCCGAAGCGGATGCCGTCGTACGGGGAGGCCACGGAAAACCAAAAGAATCCCGAGACCGGGCTGACCTTCCTCGGCCGAGGCGTCCCGAACAGCTCCGGGTAGGAACGAGTCTCGTGGGCCGCGCCGCGCCGCCTTCGCCAAAACGTCTGCGAGCGGAGAGCGGCCGGATTCTTTTCACGTGAACCCGGCACGGGAAGCGTCGGCCTCACCCGCCGGCGGCGAGCGTGGCGTTAAGAGCCGGCGAAAGCCGAGGTCACGCCCAACGCGGCCGCCGCCGGCATCGACTTTCGGCCCAACCCGCGCACGCGACCGCGCCGAGGTGGGAGCCTTTCGTCTTCTGCGAGCGCCGAGGGCCTGATTTCGTAAGAGGCGACCGGGTCCACGCACAGAGACAATCTTTTTTGTCTCTTCTTTTCTCGCTCTTCTCCCTCGCCATCATGGACGTCAAGTGGTTGGCTATCTTGAGCTTAGCTTTCAAAGATGCTCCTTCTGGCTGAGTGGATGTGTCCCAATAAGCAGGTCCAAAACAGGTGTCGCTTTGAGGACTCCACACGTGCTTTGGGCTTTTCCAAATCGACTCCTTGGCTCTTGACTCAGACTCGCAAAATATTTGAATTGATGTCTTTGGCGTCCTCCTTTGTATGAAACTTGAAATCAAGTTTTTCAGAATTGGATCGGTTCAGGTGACCGCGAGGGAAACCGGTGAGCTCAGAGTCGGGCAGCGTTTGGAAAAGCCGCCTCTCGCCGGTCGGTGCGCTTCGCTAACCCCCCCCGAGCTCTCCCCAAGTTGACCGGCATTTTGAAAGCAACGCTGATTTTGGAAGTATTTTCTGTTGCTGGTCTGAAACGCGCCATGCCCGGCACACGAGAAGGTTTGTCCTCAAGCGGAACGTGAATTTGGGGGGGGTGACCGCGAGGGAAACCGGTGAGCTCAGAGTCGGGCAGCGTTTGGAAAAGCCGCCTCTCGCCGGTCGGTGCGCTTCGCTAACCCCCCCCGAGCTCTCCCCAAGTTGACCGGCATTTTGAAAGCAACGCTGATTTTGGAAGTATTTTCTGTTGCTGGTCTGAAACGCGCCATGCCCGGCACACGAGAAGGTTTGTCCTCAAGCGGAACG